GGGATGGGGGCTCTAGGGGAGGTGGGAACACTTGGGTGGGGTGAGGGTTTTCCTCGCTCCCCCAGAGCAGGTGACGATTATGTCCAGGAGATGAGAGGTGACCTGGGGCTGCTGGGCTTCTTGCACACAGTGGCCCAAAGCTGAGGGGTGCACTGGGACAACTCCTGAGGCTCTCGAGCCCGAGGAGGGCATCTTGCCAGTGGGGCCTCGGTGGCGCACGGATTCTCCCTGACTCCTGCCTTTGGAGTCCTGAACTGGTCGGGTGCCCTGGTCTTGACAGGAGGACTCATGGCCCCACCGTTTGCAAGTACAGAAATCTCTGGACTGTACCTCCCCCTTTACAAGTGTCACCAACCCTGCCACTGGTCCTGGCACTGGCATTTAAATATGATGGAGTGACAGCAAGTGTGGCCGAGGGGGCGTGCCAGTGATGCACTCGTTCACTGTCCTGACAAACGGAGTCTTGGTGTTTAGCTCATGTCTTCCTGTTAAACCACCAAGCAGGTCACTGTCCACTCTCAACTCTCAGTCCAGCTCCCAGCCAGGGTCTCCTCAGTGGCTTCGGGCCGTGACGGGGCGGGTGAGCTGGTGGCACTGGGATGTGAGGGAGCTTGGTGCCTACGTATCCCATCACCAGCTGAACGCAAACAACTCCTGACATTTGACTCTCACCCTTACTTCAAAATCTGTGCTAGAAAGAAAACCCTAAGCGTCTCCTTAGCAACCACACTGGAGACGTCCATCACCACTGAACACAATCATAACCGGAAGTCAGACAGGATTAAAACTATCCCGTTTTACTGCACAATTCCAGGTGAGCGAAATAGAGTGCGACCAGAAGCAACGTTTGGAGCTTCCTCTTTTGATGTTTAAAGAGAGGACTTAATGACATCTATACAGAAACTAAAACAGAAGACACACTGCGTAGTTTCATCTACTGCTTTTTGATTAAAAAAAAATCAAACCCTGATCACCAGCCATAGTGGAAATAAACCAAGGGATGAACACAGTTATAGCAAATATAACTTTGGCAAAGCTACTTACATCCAAAGAATCCTCCTTCAATAGGATAAGGGCCATATTCTGTGATACCAGCCGGCAGGAATAACCTGAAATAAAAGAAAGGACAACACACGTGAATTTACCAGCCCCCAGGAACTCACCATGTCAGTGCTTATCTGAAGTCAGCCTCCATTCCTGTAGCTTCCTCACTAGCATGTTGTGCCTATGGGTTCATACAGAGGCACTGCACAGGAAAGGGGGCAGGGAACGTTTCCATGGACTGCGACTCTTGCAGACATGCGAATAGAACCGCCTGGAAGGGCTTCATAACTAATGGCTGAAATAAGTACTCGTCAATTTTCTGTGGATTTTCCTTTATCCCTGTAATCCTTGTAGGATATGAGGATGAGCTGTGGGTTCTCTAAAATAATAGCCAACACTTCAGGAAGACACGCGGAATCAAACGATGCTCCCAAGCCGGCATAAACGTGCCTCCTGGAATATCAAGACCCTCACTTGCTTTTTAAAGAAGCAGGTAATTCTCACAGCAGGTGTCGAAGGAGTCCTAGGATTCAAGGACGGAGTCATTTTTCCTGCAAAAGCTCAAAGCCATCCCTGTTTCAAGAATGAAATCTGCGTTTAAAAAAATAAAAGTTTGGAACAAGAGTGTCCCAGTACTAATCCTTAATGCTTCCCATCACATTTTCAGACCACAGCATCTCTGCGGGTTAGGCAAGCCGCCCTTTCCTGCGTCTCCTGCGTGGCAGGCACATTTCCTATGGAGCCCTTTGCTACTCAGACTTTGTGGTCCACGCGTGACAGCTGGTGACACCCCGTGACACCACGACCAAGGTGAGAGCCTCTGCTGGCTCCTGTTCAAATCCCCACACCCAGGGATGCCCACCGGGGCCCTTCTTCCAACCCACCTCCACCCTCGGGTGACCCTTGAGAGACCTGGCACGAACATGGGCTTTCCACCAGCCCCATCTCCATCTACCTCACTGAGAAAAGGCAAGAAAAGAGTCCTTCCACCTAGAAACGTGGCCCTTATGACCCTAATGGACCAACGATCACAGACACGGGACCAAACAGCATGAAGAGTATCAACCCTCGGGCGAGGACGCAGGGGATCGTCCCAGGGAAGGGCCGGAACCACTGCTGTGCTCGGGCAGCAGGAGCCTGCGCTTTCTCCCAGGAACAGTCCAAACACCTGTTTCCACAGCACCTGTGTCTACCTGACGAGGAGACAGGCTTTTAACTGATGGACGAGTCAAGGAATTGCTGCGTCTGTGTCCTCTTTTCATCCTTAAGAAACCTACTCACAGGCACAAAATAGAATTTGACAGACAAAAATTATGCTCAAAACGCTAACTATCTGAGAAATGCAAATCAAAACTAACAAGGAGGTATCACCTCACACTGGTCAGAAGGGTATTAAAAAGTCCACAAATGATAAATGCTGGAAAATGTGTGGAGAAAAGGAACCCTCCTGGTGAGATGCTGGTGAGAACGTGATCTGGTGCAGCCACTGTAGAAAACAGTACGGAGATTCCTGTAAAAACTAAAAACGAGTTACCGTATGATCCAGCAATTCCACTCCTGGGCATATGTCCAGAGAAAACTCTAATTCAGAAAGATACATGCACCTCCATGTTCACAGCAGCATTATTTACAAAAGCCAAGACATGGAAGCAACCTAAATGTCCATCCACAGATGACTAAAGAAGATGTGGTATATTTACACAATGGAATACTACTCAGCCATAAAAAGAATGGCTTTACAGCAACATGGATGGACATAGAGATGATCATACTGACTGAAGGAAGTTAGACAGAGAAAGAAAAACACCATATGATATCACTTCTATGTGGAATCTTAAAAAATGACACAAATGAACTTACTTACAACACAGAAAGAGACTCAAAGACATAAAAAACAAACTTGTGGTCAGTTACCAAAGGGGAAAGGAATAGAGGGGGTTAAGTTAGGAGCTTCAGATTAAAAGACGCAAACTACTATAAACAAAATAGACAAACAAGGACCTACTGTATATTCAGTATCTTGTAATAACCTACAATGAAGAAGAACCTGAAAGAGAACATACACTTGTATAACTGAACCACTACGTGCTACATCAGAAACTAACACAACACTGCAGATCAACTGTACTTCAATTTAAAAAAGAAACATAAATTAAGATGAGGAAACCTTGGCTTTTCTGGGGTGGGGGCGGCGGGAGAAAACAAGCGATTGTTTTGTTTATTTTGGAATATGTGAAGCGTATCCTTCACAAATGAGTGTCATTTGTGAGGATCATTTTGTAAATTACCTCAGAACACAAACTTCAATGCACAAAATTATGGCTCTTACTTAATTCAACTTTTTTTTAAAAGCAATACCATAAAGATCTAGACCAGGCAGTTAACAACAGTTATCTCAAGGGAATGAGATTATTTCACTGGTTAAAACCACCACATATAATTTTAAAAGCTAAAACAACTGAATAATTTAAAATCACAGGACCACGTGGGCAAATACCTGTTAAGCCTCTAAGAGGACGAATAAAGTGAGGAAATAAGGCACAGCTTTCTATACATTTTCAAACTTGCTCGGGTCCATGTTTTAACTACACTGATGAGTGAAAATGAGCTTTCCCCAGAATGCTGTTTAATGTTCTGCCCGGCGGGACTGAAATAATTGAGCTCTTTGCTTCCCACTAAAATTTTACCAATGGATTCTTCCCTCCTAGAAATTCTCAGACTACGTGCAGGAGGGAGGCCTCTATTTCGTTCTCACTCACAGATGGGAGATCGGACTTTGATCACCACTCTCCGCATCAGGCTCACTCCTCCTCGGCCCCGGAGGCTTCCCGCAGCTCCACGCAACGCAGACTGCTACAGACTTAGCACAGCGAGCACAGAGGGCCTGCTGGCCGGCGGCGGCCTGGACAACGGCTGAGGAAGTCGGCGGTAATTTCTAAACCATCACTTGCTGCTTTCTTCCCTAGTTTGCAATTTATTTATATTTTGCAATTTAATATCTGCAAATTTTATACTTAAGCGAAATGTCACTTGACAAGAGAAGCTGCATGAACTGTTACGGAAAAGCCCCAAGTATTCTTCTAGCCGTTAGAGGGAGAGGGTAATACATGAAGCCACTGACACCTTCGTGGATTAAACACACAAGACTCAAGGTTTCTGAGAAGAAACAGGTTCTCTTTTTTTATCAATTTGGAAAACGCAGCAAGATTGTGCTTAGAGAATTATCACATGGAACACTTGCTCTAGGCAGACCATGGCCGTTTAACACAGTTAAACATGACTTAGCTAATGTGGCAAATTAAGTTATGTCAACCCAAGTTTGTGCTTGATTCCTAATGTTTTTGGATAAAATGAGATCAACTCTTGGAGAGAAGCCAGGTACGAAACATCAATCCACACTTGTAAACTGAGGTCTAGTTCTCTAATCTCACAATCTAACAAAACGACCATAAAGTGGCCGAGAAGGGAGCCTCTGGGATTTCACTTTTTGCTGCAGCTGCAGTGAACGGCACACCACAAAAGTGCTCAGTCTTTCTGCTGCCTGAGTGTAATCAACACTCAAAGAAATCAAAACATTACAGAGTCTGTGGTCCTTAGAGCAGGACTTGATTTCACGAAAGTAAAATAATCATTCACACTAGAAAGTGTCACCCAGCCAGACCTCTCAGAACCCGCCATCGGGGCCTCCGTTTTTAAGCTAAGATATCGTCAAAGACATCCAGACCTAGACCTCTTTGGAGACTGTCTTGTAAGGGTTAGGAACAGCTTATCCTTACTAATCATGTATCTAGGACCGACCAAGCTCCCCGCCCGTGGGATTCAACTTGGTTCCAAATCCTGAACAAGTGTGTTGCTGGTTCTAACTAATTTTAGGGAGACTGTCACTCAATGTTTGACTGTGAGTGTAGGGAACATGTTGCAGACATCAGGCCCAGGTGATGAAAGAAGAACCCTTCATCTCCTCCAGGTTGCAACAAGGATGCTCAGTGCAGTCCTTCCTCATCAGAGAACCAGGACCCTGAGGCTCATCCACAGAACCACACCCGGGCACCTT